GATGGATGGATGGATGGATGGATATATGTCCTGAATTTCCTCGCCGTTTGACGATAAAGGCTGTTTCTATTCTATTCTGTTCTTATTTAATCTGAAAACTGCTCAGTTTCTCCTTTTTTGTCTCAGTCATCCCAGATTCTCCACAGCCACTGGAAAYGAAACAACCAAGTCCTAAAAAGGAGGTGGAGGCTGCTCATCATTCACATGTACATTATTTTATGTTATATGTAGTTAGTTGCTGCAGAAATAAACGATTTGCAAAAATTTTTAGCTCTTGTCACATTTTGATATTTTTCTTGTGTTCAGGTTCATTCTGAAGGCAAAATAAGGAAGAGGAGACGAGTCCTGAAGTCACGCACCTTTCTGGATGATGAAGGATGTATCGGTAAGAAAAAGACTGAAAACTTTATTCTGCTTCATGTTCTTAGTCTGATTCTGCCTTTTTTTTAAGTTTTTTAACCTGGTGTTTCTTGATAAAACTGCAAAAATAAAAAGTATCCTTTAAGGTTTATTGATGCAGTTATTTTCACGAGTTCACAACTTTTCTTGTTTTTCCTCAGTGACAGAAAAAGGCTACGAGAGTGAATCTTACTCTGAGGCGGAGGACGACGTCCCGCCCAACAAACAAGCTCCCAGAGAAAACGTTAAGGCAAAACTTCCCTCGAGCAGCAAAGAGAACGAGAAAAAAAGTCAGAAGAAATCTTCAGCGAGCTCACAGAAAGGAACGAAACAAGCTTCTATTATGGGGTTTTTTCAGAAGAAATGACAAAAAAAAACAGCTCTGTAGTTGTTTTTCTGTGATATCCGTGGTTTTTATTTTTTATTTTTTACAACAGACTCAAACATGAACAGATGACTGAAAGATAAAAGGACCTCAACAGTTCAGATYGACACATTTTATTTTTTCACTTTTGTACATCTATCAGCTGTAAACTTGTGATATTCAATAAAAAGATTAAATGAGCTGTATATTCTTTACTTTAAAATGAACACATGGCGGTTAGCAGGATTACTTTGTATTTACTCTTCTAAAATATAACAAAAGTAATAAGTCAAGCAGAAAATGTGCATTTTCAATATAATTTACAGCTCTCAATATTTTGTGCTTTTTAACCAATCATTGCTTTTGAAATTTAGAGAGTAGGCAATTTTCAACAAAATAATCTTGCATCTGCTTACACACTATAGTTTCTATAATTTTGCCCAAAACAGGTAGTGTACTGATTGGCCTACTATAGGGTCCATTGAACAGAATATTTTTATTCTTCGGAATAGGGATTATTTTAGACTTTTTCCATTGTGAAGGAAAAGATCCATTCAGCAAACATTTATTAAAAATATGGCAAAGAGGACGTGACAACCTTCGCAGATAACTTCAAGAGTCTACAATCGATATTGTCTACACCTGCTGACATATCATCCTCTAAAGTATGCTGATGTAGATCACATGGACATTATATAAACTAATCATTTTCAGCCTCAGTAATTATTTTTTTGATACAGGCTTTGGACTAATTTAACAATATAAGGGATTCAATTTTTTTAAAACAGTTTTTACCTCCAATTTTGCTAATTTTAGCTTCAATACAGTTTTGCTTAATTTTCTTGAAGCTTTATTTGCTTTCTGCTGTTCTTTGTGATACATTTAGCAAAATTGCTCAATTTTACAGTTTTGCAACTTGTWGCTAGTTTTGCTACTCTTTGTTTTTTGCTATCCAAGATTTTACTAAAACCTTTAAAAAAATGTTGCTGTGATTCTAATTTTAGCTTTTAGCCATAGTTTGTTCAGTTTAGTTGCTCATTTTAGCTTCTGTGTTATGATTTTAACAAATCTTATATTAATAATGTTCAGCACCACACATTCACACTGCAATTTTTAAAGAAAATACACTTTCTGAATGTATTTTACATCGCAATTAACCTTTTCACTGTTACCATTTTATATATTGGATCATTTCTAAAGATTTTAACTCTTAGTTGAACGATTCMTTCTGCTGTACCCTGTATTCCTATTGGATCTTCAGTTGGGCGACACAGAATGCGCAAACGCTGCAAAACAACAGAGAGAAACAAGTGATTTTACAGAAAACATCAAAGCTAACACAAGCTTTACTTCATAAATTTAACTAGGGAAGGGAATACATCCTTTAAAATGCAACATTAAATGACTGGAACATGAAAACGTCTGCACACAACACTATAAAGAATATGTGTTTTGTGTTTAGTTTTTTTTTTTTATCTTGTCCTTCACCTGACTCTTCAGATACCAACCTGTCTGAAGGTTCCAGATGTGAAGCACAGCTGTCCAGATGCCCACAGCGGCACCAGGAGGATGGAGGACAGAGTCATGGTCCATCCCAGACCATGGGCCCAGTCAGGGTAAACATACTCATCAATCTTCAGGTGTTTGTMATCAACCAGGTGTAAGATGAAGGAAATCTGAAAAGGTTTTAACACTGAGTGCTGATTCTGCTGGAAATGATGGGATTTAACCAATAAAACTGGAAAACAAGTCATAAAATTCAGATTTCTTTATGTTTTCAGCCTCACCAGTGACAGAGGAGGAATAAYGTACTTCCAGCACAGCTTAAAGAAAACAGAGGGCTTCTGTCCTGTCATGTCCTCGATTATGTTCAAAAGACGATCAGCTCCTGTTCAGGAGTCAGATAATTATGGTTTTAAATAAAATTAAGTTTGAATCAYGTTCCAAGATGGTGGAATTTAAGTTTGTTCGTTTAGATAACAGCTCAAATACACATAAAAACGCTGATCAGTAAATGAGCTTTACTTACCAAAAGTCCAGGCTACAGCCAGGCAGAGACATACCGTCATAAAATCCTGACATGCTCTGGTGCAGCCGTAGTAATCTATGAGTTGGAAAATGTAAATTCCTCCCTGAAGCAGAGAGAAATAAAATCTTTTTATTTTAAATTCAATCTTAATATAAAATAAAAGTTATAGTTTACTCTGTAACTTGTTTTGAATTCTGAACTTTCCCACTTTCCATCAAGGAATTCCCACTAGAGGGACATTTCAGTTTAAATATACAACTTGTAAGTGGGAAATTCCCACTTACCAGCGAAAATGCACAAGTAGGGGTCTCTGCAGTACATGTTGTCTTGTGGGCGGAGTTTACCCTAATTGGTCGGATTGACATGCATGTCTTGTGGGGCAACTTAAAAGAGGAAGTAATGCTGGTAAAAATATGATTTATTGACTTTCAAGGTACAGTTTCAAACAGAACAATGACCCAAATAAAAATTGTTGTGAAAATGTAAACATAATTTCTCCTAAAATTTCATGCAGCAAGCTTCTTCCTGTCTCAAATTATGACTAATATTCATATTCATATTGATTTATAGCTATCTTTTTACAGGCCAGTTAGGGATGTTTTGACCGAGCCAAATTGTTACTCGTCCCTCCATGTGTACTGAGTTTAAATTTCGTGCAGCTAGCACCTTCCGTTCTCAAGTTATGACTAAAATTAATCTTAAAATGTTACTTCCTGCCCGACTAGACCAAGCTACTACACGAGTAGGGCCGTCTCCGCCCACATCAAGACTTCTGCCAATCACAAGTAGGGCCGTCTCCGCCCACATCAAGACTTCCACCAATCACAAGTAGGGCCGTCTCCGCCCACATCAAGACTTCCACCAATCACAAGTAGGGCCGTCTCCGCCCACATCAAGACTTCCGCCAATCACAAGTAGGGCCGTCTCCGCCCACAGGACAACATGTTCTGCAGAGACCCCATTCTCAAAATGCAGGGAAATGGAGATTTTACACAAYAAATCTCACCAGCTGCTGGCTACTTTTGAAACCTGTGCAGCTCCACCTAGTGGTGGGATGCCATCTTTTTGTAGTAAAATAATCAACATGCGGACCACGTAGAATTCTGTGGCGGGACACATTTGGCCCACAGGCCTTGAGTTTGACACATGTAACTTGGGGGATTCAAAGATTTTCCCAGAACAGCTGGGTCTGCTACCTCTGTGAGTAAATGCAGGAGGAAGAAGGATGAACAGATGAAGAGGACAAACATCTCCCGCCTCTTCGGAGCTCGAAACAGTTTGGGGAACAGGTCGCAGACTGAAGTGATGATAYTTTCTACAGACACAAACTTGAGACAAGAAAACAAAACATATGAGTTGAGCATCTTTAAGTAAAGAAGCGCTCATGAATCTGTCTTACATGTGTGTCAACGGTGAGCAGAATCAGCATCAGGAAGAAGGAGGCGGTCCAGAACTGTGGTAACGGCATCATGGCTGTGGCCTGAGGATAGGTGACGAAGGCCAAACCTGGACCTGATTAGAAACAAGCATGGGTAAACGTATTTKTAAAACTGACCCAATCATAGCCTTTTTTTACTTTTTGTTTAAGGTAAGTTGTCAAAAACCCACCAGATTCAGCCACATTGTCCACAGAAACACCTTGTTTCTGAGCCATGAAGCCCAGGACAGAGAAGACGACAAATCCAGCAACAAAACTGGTTCCACTGTTCAGCAGGCAGAGCCAGAAGCAGTCCCCGAGGGCCAAAGTGATGAATGAAGGACTGCTGCTCCTCCACGCATAGAGACATTTGGTCGTTCATCTAACATACTTGGAACAGTTGTTGTAGCTTCCCAGAATACTCAGAGTTCCTACAACTAAACTGTAGGACAAGTATATTTGAGACCTTTCCAGATGATTTGATGCCTTTCCAAATGCTAAAGTACATCATCCAGCTAAGCAGAAGACACAAGGCCAGCTCCCACCTGATGCTGCCCAGCTCCTCAACACCTGCAGACATGTTCAGCACCCGCCGTCCGAAGAGAAACATTCAGCAGGACAAAGATGTAGGGCTGCATTTGAAGAGTTTCATTTTGATTTTTGTGTGAAAGAAAACTCTTTGATCAAAACTTATATAGGGTTACAAWTTTGACCTTATCTAAAACTATACTTTATCTGTGCTACAATATTTAGTGTTTTGTGATCTCTAATTAAACAAGGAAACTGGACTCACTTCCAGAACTCAGTCGCAGCTGAGGTGGTGTTGGTGTCAGTGACAGTAASATTAGATGAATTCAAAGACAGAAGACTGAGACAGTTAACTGTGTTGGGAGAAAAAGGAAAAGGAAAAAAAAAATGTTTTTGTGCACAAAATGATACATATTGTTCAGATTTGGTGTAAAACTCGATCCTGCCTGTGTTCCAGGGGTTGTCACAGCTGGTCCAGGGGAGTTGCGATTTGAATGAGAAAATCAAATAGAAGAGAGCCCAGACCTGGACTAAAATGTAGCAGAAGTCATAAAGTTTCATCATGAATAAACCATATCCGATTCCTGAAATAAACAAGACCGTCACGATTTAAACACCTGCCACCGGGAGAGACTGTCAACATACAAACAGTTTGAGCTTTGATTTTATATTTCAGCAGCAGATGAGCTTTACTTTTTGCCAGCGGGCACAGTTTGTTCCAGCAAGTGATGAAACCTTCCTGGGTGTACTGACCCATCGACGTCTCCATTAGGAAGAGAGGAATACCAAACACCACAGCAAACAGTGTATGGAACCAGAAAGGCACATGTGAGAATAAAGAGCATAACATAACACAACACAACACAACACAACAACACAACAACACAACACAACAACACAACACAACACAACACAACACAACACGGCACGACACGACACGACACGACATGACATAACATGTAACGTAACATATAACATAACATATAACATATAACATATAACATATAACATATAACATAT